CTTGGCAGTTTGCGTGGTTTAGACAACTACGTTCCCCACTCGTATTAGATCGATGGTTTCAATCTGTTTCTTTGTAAGGATGACAATCTCTGTCTTGCTCAGAGCAGGCGACAGACCATGATCAGCCACCCCGGCATTTAACTTAAAATTAAATTTCAATATTTTTACATTAGTCTTAAGGGTTGGAAAGTTGTTTTGGCAGTTTTAAGAAAATGTTAATAAAGAATTGTAACATAAGCTTGTAACCTACAGTACAAAAGAAAACTACAGTTCGGTCGCTAGTAGTTGAACTAAAACAAACGGGTAGCGGTTATTGGCAGTGCTGGGGTAGGGGTGAGTGAGTAGCAAGACACAAATGTTTTCACAAAAGTGTCCCCGCCAACCCCCTCGCCTAGAAACGAACGGATTTGGTCCCACACACAGAAACTTTGGCCGAACTGTACCAAATACAGTGCAAAAGAAAAGAACATTCCATGGAATACTATTTAGCATTGATTATATTACACTTGGGTTGTATTACTAAGCAAGGGATAGTTACGACTATTCAAAAACGTAGAGTCTTTTACCGCAAAACAAGTTTTTGAACAGCCGTAATCATCCCTACCCTTGCTTAGTAATACACCCCAAGTCTATAATCATTGCTAAATAGTATTAGTTGGAATGTTCTTTTCTTTTGCACTGTATTTGGTACAGTTCGGTCAAAGTTTCTGTGCGTGGGACCAAATCCGGTCGGGTCTAGGCGAGGGGGTTGGCAGTGATACTTTTGGAAAACATTTGGGTCTTGCTACTCACTCACCCCTACCTCCAGCACTGCCAATAACCGGTACCCGTATGTTTTAGTTCAGCTACTAACGACCCGTGTGCGCGCACAGAAGTTTGAAGTTTTGGCCGAACTGTAATTTTCTTTTGTACTGTAGGTTACAAGCTTATGTTAGAATTAATTTATTTACATTTTCTTAAATCTGCCAAAACTACTTTCCAAACCTTAATACTAATGTAAAAATATTGAAATTTCATTTTAAGTTTTCAACAAAAAAGAATTTTCCCAGAACAGAGCCTAGGAGCGGTTTTTGAAATCATTGTGCGCAAACGTTACTCATATTATAGTAGACCCCCTCTTAACCGACCCTAATGGGACCCGACCTCCGTCGGATAACTCAAAAGGTCGGTTAAAACCAGCAATCCCTAAAATCATAATATATAATGAAATGCAATTCCTTTGGAATTATATAATCAATATTTTAAAGTCATACTTGCATTATTTATAAAATAAACTACTCTTATCTCCTTTTTCGTATTGATAGAAAAGTCACAAATAAACAAAAACACGGTTAAGTCTAATAGGCCTACTTTCTGCAACCTCAGGGTTTTTAGGTTCGTGCTTGGAACTCTCTTTAATTACCAATTTCCTTGCTAATATTTTAATTTGAAACTTTTTTTATCATAATAAAGTTAGCCTTTGATTTCTTTTTTACTAAATAACTTTATATCGAATTTGGATAAGATTGTTCTAAAACAAAAGTCTTTACTTGAATCAAGAATATAAATTTTAACAGCTAGGAGGCTACTCGATCCACCTCAGAATTAGGCTAATGTTCTCAAATTGTCCAACACCTAAATAGAATTGTCTGTAATAATAAGATGGAGATTACCAAGTTTCTTCCAAGTTTCCACATTTCTTCTTGTTTAAACTATTTGAAATAATTAGACTATTGGTTTAGCTTTTCACTTTTTACTAGAAAATATTATAATACTAGCAGAGTACCCGTCCTTCGTACGGGGTTGGCATATAAGTATAAAATGCTTATTGCAGTTATGGGTGAGGACATGGTTTAAGAAAGTTTGGTTCTTTTGCTCTACCACTGCCCCTGAACCATAGAAAAAAGTAGAGGTCTCATTGTGTAATGCGTGTGTTAAATGCAAAAAATAATAGGACTGCACCCTATAGGTGCCTTAAAACCTGTTAATGCTATTTAATATCATAGAACTAACTTGTGCAGTCGAAACAGCTGACAAAATTCTTTAATTCCTTTTGGATATATTTTTATCAAATTTAGCAAATTGATTTATTCTATACTAATTTTCCTAAAATCACACTTCGTAACCCTCCCTGTAGCAGCATAACCTAGATACTCGTTAAACCTAATGTTATTGAATTAGATTTAATTGAAAATAGGCTGCAGGTGTGGGGGTATTATGGAATTGTAATTGATGTAGAAAGAAGACTTTGTGGTAGTACATGATTAACTCTAAGTTATATAAGATACTAAAAAAATCAATTCCGGCGGTCCCAATTAGTAGCGTCGGTCGCTTAAAAATAGTGGTGGGAATCACCGAATGAAAATAACCGAATCAATCGGTTATTGATGCTGAATAGACTAATTCGGTTATTTTATCCTGGTTCGGTTAAATTAGTCTTACCGAGCGATTCGGTGATTTAGTTATTTAGTTTATTTAGTTTGTCACATCACTCACATCATCAGGAAACTAAAATTTATTCGGCAATTCGTTCGACTAAAAATCACCGATTGACGCTAAAAGACTAAATGCCATTCAGTTTCCCATGAGATAAAAATTAGTTGTGTTTTGTGACAGTGAATAATGACTAAAATTGATTCGGTGATTCATTCAACTAAAAATAACCGATTGATGCAAAAAATAACTGATTGATTATTCGGTCATGGAAACGATTCGGTTATCCCATCACTACTTAAAAATTTGACTGGCGCTACTGCAACCAGCGCTACTATTCGTATTCGCTAGCAGCTATACCCGTGCCTTGCTACTCAGTATGCAAAAGAGTTAATACTGGTTCTTTGAAAATGCCAAATGGTTTCACTCCCTAACATTTATTGTAGAAACGAAATTGAACTGTATTAGCCTACTTAACTTGATAATAGTAATAGGTCTAGTACTTTTTTGTTAACTCATACTGTGAATACTTATTTAGGCTACCTAGGAAACAAAACCAATGATATATTTTAAGGTATAATAAAAGAACCTGTTTAATGGTTTGGACTGTAAACGAAAAGCTATCACAATAGTTCCAAACCTGTCAATAGTGTAGTTCTCTAACATCTTTTAGGGAAATGACAATCAGGCAAATAGAAATTCGCTTAGTCTATAGGTTTGCTGCAGCAGGGATATTAAATTACTGTTTACACAAAAATAAATCTAAAACATAATTCTCATAAAACTCAGGATAAGGGCCTAGTTTGATACGGCAATGATTATAGAATCTTAATTATATCCTATATCAATGAATAATTTCTTTTTACAATGAAATATTCACTATAAAATATTATTACAGCATATCACAAACATTAGAGCAGACTCAGTATAATTGAGTATAAACATAAAAAAATTATGTAACTGGAAGAATCCTATTATAATGAAATGACATTAACATATGGTTTGACAGCTCCATTTTAGTACCTAATGTAAAATAATGTTTACTTTCAGGCTAGTGACGTCATTATTTTAAATATGATCCCTACCCTCTCTGTTCTAATATTCATGCAGTATTTAAATAAATGTTTGAACCAGCTGTGTGGAATTGTGAAACCAAAATTCATTTGACAGTTAGTTCTGCTTGTTTACATTTTCAAACTTTGTAGGTTTGTTCTTTGTAACCATGGATACCATCAATCAATATTTACTTTTAAATCTCTCACCTCAAATTTTTGAAAGCCCACGGGGCGGAGCCCTAGGACAATATCGAAGCGGGAATAGTTCTATATGTATCCTCAGAGCTGTAGCTTCATTTGTGTGCAATTTGAGACCAGTCGGTTCAGTAGTTTTTGAGATTATCTCATACAAACACACACACACACAGACACCACCTCTTCTTTATAATAGTATAGATAGATAGATAAAAATCATACAAACTAGTTTTTACACTTTCATCAGGCTAGTTCATGGTAGAAGAAGGAGGAAATCCAGTTGTTACCTAACACATGTTTTTCAGCAACAATGTATTCAGGTCTTCTATATCTTGATGTTCACTGTTACTTTTTAGTCACTTAGGCCAATTTATAGTATATGAAATTTAATTTGGGTAAATTACTTTTTGAGATTATGTTTGGATATATATAATTATTTTTACTTTAGCTTGTGTTTGAAATAGATTTTAAACATAGTATATTTTAAATAGGCTTTTAGGCTTAATTGACTGGTAATAGGCTATTTATATATTATTTAATTATACAAAATTTTATGAACTGTTGCATTTCAGTGTAATATATTATAATATTAGGCAACAGTCAATAAAATTCCTATTTTAATAACTTTAGGGCTGTAATGTATTAATTGATGCTTTCCAAATCCATCGTAATACAGTACAGAACCTTTTGTCAAAATTAAAGATACAAGTAACCATGTTGTTACAAGGAAGGGACAGGATGTTTATTACCTCTCACTGTAGGCTCGAGCGAGGCACAAAAACTATCTTGACCTTGGAGTTGGTAACCCCCCTTCCCTGCCCTCCCTACAAGTTGCGTTGTTTGTTTACTCCAGCGATAAGATAATCTGTTCTCAAAATCGTAACGCACTTATGCACTTTATGATGTTATAAATTTGCCGCACAGATAACATATCAGATCAGATGTGCTCGAGCCACGATAACGAATGATGATGACAAACTGACAATAGGCTTTGCTATATTTTTTGTGATCACACTTATTCTTAGTCATATCCTGTGGAGATAAGCGTATGGTTCAATTCTCATCGCCCAGCGTGGGAGCGAAAATGCCGAGATTCCTAGAAAGCGGCGGCATAGACTAATGTTTTATCTATGGCGGCGGTTAAACCGAACTGCTCTCAAAGGAAGGTCGGTTAAAACAAACTGTATTATTTCACGATCGAAGGCGGATAATCCGATTATCTGTTAATACGAGGTCGGTTAAGAGGGAGTCTACTTATAGCTAGATAATTATAGATTTCAACAACTATACAATTTGACTATCCAAACGGTCTGTCTGTAGCAATCTGTCACATTTTAGGTTCAACAAATCTACCTCGGCCGCTTCATCAACGGGCTATCATTTGGCGCTGTGACAGTCGCTGTACCGTTGTACAACAATGAGATTGCAGAGGACCGAGTGCGAGGCAGTGTTGGTGTGTACCTAGACCTCATGTTGTGTGTGGGTATCCTGTGGTCTTATGTGGTGGGTGCTCTGTCCTCTCTCTACTGGCTGTCATTCTCCTGCTGTGTGATCCCTGTAGTGTTTCTCCTCACCTTCTACTGGATGCCAGAGTCACCGGTTCACTTGCTGGCCCAGGGGAAGGCTGAGGATGCTGAAATGGCTATCAGGCTAGTATAGTAACACACTGTCTTTTAATTTGATTTAGTTTGCTAATAACATTCATTCTAAAGCTTAGCTTCAAGTGTAAACATAGGTAGAAAGAAGTGGAGTAAACACGCATTTACTAACTTCTTGTGGGCATATTATATTATGCTGGCCAAGAAGTAGGTATTTACATTACGAGCATGAGTTTCTACAGGAAGCTTGGCGAGCACAGAATTTCATGAGGGTACCATCTTTATCATTTGATTACCAGATTATCTTTAATTTTACTACAGCCTAACTACAGCCTAGCTCTAAACAAATATAGAGTTATTTGTTTATTTAAAAAATTAGTAGATAGTTCTCTACACAACTGATTTATTAGAGATTCCCAATAAAGTCTACTATCTAGGTATAATCCTAATAGTTTTACTGGTTTAATGCCTTAATTTATAAATTTATTTTTAAAAAATACAATGTTTTCTGTTGAACTATTAATAACAAGTAACCCGAAGTAACCCATCTTATATATTTAAAAAATTTGGGTTTTCTTTTCCGAGTTCGTTTGGCTCTTCTACCAGACCGATTTTCATGATTGAGGTCTCAAATTGAAGCTATGCACGCACAGATTTGCCATCAAGCATCGGCATATATTTATCTATAATCCCACTCGGCTTATACGTAAAAAAAATTTGATCCCCATGTATTTCTTATGGGAGTTAAATTTGTGTTTTCTTTGCCGAGTTCGTTTGGCTCTTCTACCCGACCGATTTTCATGATTGAGGTCTCAAATTGAAGGTATGCACGCACATATTTGCCATAAATCTTCAGGATATATTTACCTACTGTATTACTTGACAAAAAAACATAATTTGATTCATTTTTTAATTCTTACTTCAATTTAAGATGTATTTCACCAGTTATAATTATATAATCCTATATATTTGGGTCTAAGGACCTTAAGTGAAACACCGGCTTTCATTTAAGCTATTAGTTATTCAAATCGGACGAGTTTCAAGCAAACGCAAGGTGATCAACCAACATAAAAACTATTTTTCATAAGGTTTTTCTATGATTAAAAATCAATCTCTCCAGTATTGTTTATGTTTTTTATATGTTTTCGACTTAAAATAATCAGTAAATTGTTGGCTTTAATTTGAGTTATTGATCATTTGAATCAGTTAAGCTCAAGATACTTGATTACTCAATCAGAAATCATAAATTTGATTATTTCTCGGATATTATATTTATTTGAACGCTGCAGAATAGCATGGGTCCTCTAGTTAACTTTAAACCATCCCTCAGCTGCTATCATTGAATTATTTTCTTCAGTTAATAAACTATTTAAATCATTGCTTTGATTCAGAAGAGTGGTGTCATCAGCATAATATAATACTGCTTTTGTGCTTTACATGGCATATTGAAGGCAAAGTCATTTACTGCAACTAACTATGAATAGGAAAGAACCCAAAACCGATCCTTGAGGGACCCCTACCTGAATTGTTTTGAAATCAGAATGTTCTTGATATTTTACAACCATTTCTTTTCTGTTACTTTAGTGAGAAGATATTAACTGTAGTTCAGCATTCCTAACCCATAACTTGCTCAATTTGCTTACAATTAATTCATGAGAGATTGTGTGAGAACTATTAAAGTTGCAGATGATAAATATTTATTTTCAAAGTTTTCCAAAACATTCTCTACTATTGTTTCTATGGCTTTGGTTGTGTTCAAGGTTTTACTTTGGTTGTACAGTTTTGGTTGTTGAAAATTGAAACAGTTGACAAAACAATAACAAATCTTTGTTTGTTTACATCGGCAAAATCAAAAAAAGATAGTAAACATTACTTTCGCATAGTAAACATTCTGTTTATGTAGTAAACAACCTAATGAAGAATTTTCGCAGGTGATAAACATGTACCGTAACGAAAACAGGTCATTTTAAAGTAGTGTAGCGAAAACCAAATTACTGATCAAAACACTGAAAAGCTATTAGTAACATTAAAATGTTTTCTACAAAACATATACCTTTGGATACAATTCTTTAGGTTATTGTAAACATTTGTTTGAAAGATTACCAAATTAAGGTGTAAATACAGCTGGCCTCAGGTGAGAAAGGTACATATGACATGAAGACAATTTTTGAACTTCTAGGATAGTGATATTTTACTTCTAGGATACTGTCGGTCAAAAATAGCTTCATAGCATAGGTGATATTTCATAGATGTTGTTACATAAGATTATACAGCTCTAATGATTGCTTGTTGTGGTTTTGGCAGGTGGTTGCGAGGGGCTCGGCCACACCACCAGTATGATGCTGGTCCTGAACTGACCAAGCTACAGAGACTGGTGGATGATGCAGAAGACAGGGAGAAAGCTCAGATTAAAATATCCGATCTCGCCACATTCAGGGAGAAACTCGCTTCGTTTTCCTTTCGGTAATGAATTAGGTGTTGGTATAATAAAATTGTTATAACACTAAGGATTTTTTTCAAACACAGTGGAATTCTTCTAAAACAAAGGTTGAGTACAAATTATACATCGGCAAGTTATCTACGCTTTGATAGGAATCCACATAATACTCTTGACTGTTTACAAGTGGATTAACCACCCTGTGAATTAACCAGGATCGCAATAAAATCTAAATGAAAGAATGCAAGTTATTGCCGAATTCAGGGTACTTGAAACCCACTAGGCCAAATGTACATGAGCGGCCCCCGCCCCTCAAGTAGAATTTCACTGCAATCACGGCTAAATCATGAACACCTCCTGTGATAACGGGATCATCATTTTTGTCACCTGCAATCGTCGCGGTTGAACTAACAACTATTGTAGAAAATATGATTAATTTATGTTCTAGCCTACAACTTTTTCACAAAACGCTGTGGCTCACTTTCCTTTGCAGCCCTAGGCCATGGCCTTATCGGCCTAGTGGTAAACTTGGCATTGATACAAGTCAAATGTGCGTTATACAGCAATGACTAAGATGTTCAGCTGATGGAGGATGCCTAGGATGCATCTCGCAGCAGACATCTCAATTATACAGTTTGCTGTTGTGTACTTCCTCGACCACTGATGTGTCAATCCTTTCTAACTGCAGTAGAGTCCCTCTTATCTGAACTCCTCGGGACCGAGGCCAGTCCGGATAACGGGTTTTCCGGTTAAGCCGACGTCCCCAAAAACTTGTTAAAACGGACTATTTACTGTGATATTTGACTTAAATTTAGGAGAGCATTGTATTTAGACATGTAATCACTGGTCTCAAATATTTCCCAAGAGAACAGTCGTTTCAGTACCGTCCATTTCCTGCCGATCTAGTCCAGTTAAACCAATGTGCTGATAACAATTTTCTGGTTAAGGAGATGTCATTTCCGTCGAATGTAGTCCGATTAAACCGATGTCCGGTTAAAAGGTGTCCGGATAAGAGGGAGTTTACTGTATTTGACAAGTAAGATTTTGTGTATGTTTAAATTTTTGTCATTACTAGCCCTATACTTAGGCCCTCCAATATTATTTGTTTTGTAAATAGACAAGTGTAAAGTATAGTTAAAAGCACTGCATTAAAGCTTAACTAACTACACATTCAAAATTATTGATATTGTTATTGATATTTCCTGTGCATTTTGGGTTAGGTTTACATCATCTATGATCACTCAGCCATTAATTTTAGTGGATAATCAGGAGCCCACTGTAGTTAAAGGCTGAATGGTTATCAATATGATAAATATTGTGAATAACTACTATCCAGCACATCATGATAATGGTCACAGCCTGACGATGGAAACCTAGTTTCCGAAAGCGCTTGTGATTAATACAGTTAATTATATTGGCCTTTTTGAACTTTTAAATTTAGCTATACATTTTATTATCAGTTATTAATTGAATGAAATAGCAACAGCTGACACATTTTCATTTTCTAAGTTAAAGTTCCTGCACTTCACAATTTAAGTTCTAGTGAAATATTTTACTGAAATAAAAGTTGTTGAGCATGAACACACACACACAGACACCCCAGATATTTTCACAGAGATACTGGTACCTACAAACATATACTGGACCCTATATATTATAAATCAATATTTGTAGGTTTTCAGAATTTTTGTTACGCCCAAAAAGTTGTTGCTATTAATTATGTAAACTAACCTTTTCTAAGAAACGGTAAACGCTAGAAAAAAAATAGCGTATTTTGAAGGTCATTGTGTTAGTAATAGAAATATTTATAATACAAAGGCTTATTGTCACAGATATCATTGATATCAACTAATTTGCGCTCGCTAGTAGGACTCATCACAGCCGGGAGCCGCCATCTTAGTTAGTATTAGCATTGACTTTATATCTACACAGATGTAGATATAAAGTCAATGGTATTAGTGAAAAATACTGGCTTCACGTCACGGCCAACATGCTCCATCTATTGGTCTTATGCACGTCTTATGTGATCGTTGGTATAAACGATGTATAAATAACGATGAGTTGTTTATCGTTACCTACTTTTCACAACAAGAAACTTCCCCCTCCCTTCTTCCCCTATGATCACTCTCCAATCATAGAGCAGAGCAGTACGTTGTATTGCACTCTTGAGTTGTATACCAATTGAACATTCTGTATTCATTTTGTCAAGGTAATACTTCAATTTGGTTTTCATGTTTTCTACATGTTTAATGTATTCAATTAAACATTTATCTCTTGTCATCTACCTACACCTGTTTTTCATTGTAATAGGCTTTAAAAAAACTTATATCGTATCCAAGTTATCCTGTAAAAATTGATTTCACATTTAGAAATACATTTTTAACTTTGGGTTTTGCTAAAGTGTATATGATGAGTAAAAGTGTAAAAATGTTGAATTTCTTTGAATAATAACAGTAGTTGAAAAAAGTATTTTATTGCAAGTATTCTTCTAACCTAAACTTATAAAAAAGTTCTTCCCAAAATTTTTGGGAAAAAATTTCACAAATAGGGTTAAGTTATGTTCAAGGGGGTTGGGTGGGGGAATTCTAGGTGGTGCTGATTAGGGTGTTCACTTAACTCTGAAAAATTCCTAGAACCGGCTCCGCCTACAAAACAGTTTGTGAAAGTAAACATCTGCTTGTAAATTACCTATATTTATTTGTAAACATTGTACAGGGTGCGGCATAAAGAACTCCCCGATTTCTAAGGCTAGCGATAGCGAGCAGCAGCGATGTGGAGTGGTGGGGGTTGTGACGTTGAATAGATGCGTACATGCCGTTTCAGTGTACGCCATAGCTTGGTCAGGGCAGCATCGCGCATTTGTTGTGGAGCAGTTCATTCAAAATGGCGGATCGCCTGTAACCACTCAACCCGTCTTTCGCGTTCACTTCGCGCTTGGTCGGCGGGACCCTGTTCCCGATAAAAAAACTATTTACTCCTGGGTTACCAATTTTTGACAGACTGGTTCTGCTCTGAAACGTAAACCTCAAGGACGACTGAGAACTGTTACCAGCCTAGAAAATGTTGCTGCTGTTCGGTACTCAGTTGAACAATCCCCTCAACGTTCCACGAGAAAACACGTAGCGGCATTACGAATGTCTGATCGTAGTGTCAGAAGAATTCTTCATCAAGATTTGAAGAGGCTTCCCTACAAGATCGTCGTGGTACAGGAGCTGAGTGAGCGAGACTTTGATATGCGTACAGCATTGTGTCAACATGTTCTTCGACTCATTCAGGATGAAGATGTTGTGATCTTTTCTGATGAGGCACATTTCCATCTCTCTGGTATGGTGAACAAGCAAAATTGTAGGTATTGGGCTGAAAACAACCCCCATGAACTTCATCAACGACCACTAATAGCCTAGTCCAAAGGTTACAGTGTGGTGCGGTGTGTTTAACAAGGGTATAATTGGGCCGTACTTTTTTGAAGAAAATGGTGCGACTGTGACTGTGAACAGCGATCGTTATTGTTCGATGCTCCGTACTTTTTTGCAGCCAAAACTAGCTGAAATCTTTCCTGATCTGGCCAATGTATGGTTCCAACAAGATGGTGTGTCAATCATTGACATAGGTCAAGGAAATGTTTCCTGGACATGTCATTTCAATGTGCGGTGACATTGGATGGCCACCGCGATCACCCAGGCTTGAGCCCGTGTGACTTTTTTTTGTGGTGCTATCTAAAGTCAAAGGTATTCGAACACCGCCCTCAAAGTTTGGAAGCCCTCAAGGAAAGAATAAGGCACGAAGTTGCAGCCATCTCACCCGACATGACCCGAAAGGTAATGGACAACTACCGGGAACGTTTGATCCAATGTGTTAACACTGGAGGCCACCATTTAAATGACATTTAATTTAAAACACGATAATTTTACATTATTGGATTAAAACAACATTTGATTTAAAGCCCTATAATTTTATATTGTTTTAAATGGCATAATGTGTGTTTTTGGTAAATAGCAATACAAATGTCACATCTTACTTGGTTTTGTTTTTATTAGCTTTCCTAATAGGGGAGTTCTTTCTGCCGCACCCTGTAGTTCCAAAAGTCTGACATTGGACCCCTTAAAACCCTCTGGGGGGGAGCCCTTTTGACGGATCTGCACCAAACTTCACATAAACCATCCTTGAATAATGCCTTATAATGCCTGAAAGTTTCATTAGAATATGTCAAACGGTTTCGGAGTCAATAAGGTGCATACATACATACATAGTTCTTTTATAGATATAGATAAATCCCAAAGTACCCATGAACTTTTGAGAAAACTACAAGTTACACCAGCCCCATAAATCATATACTGTACTTAAAATGTTCGTCATGAGGTGAAACCTTGCGCAAAACTATCCATTATTTCATAAATTGTCCTAATGTCGTAATTCCTATCTAAAGGGAACTTTCCATATACCTAATGTTAAAACCCCAGCTGTACTTATTTGTTTGTTATTATTAAAACGTTTTTATTAGGTCGCTTTCTTGTCCGCTACAAATTTTGCAACCGATTTTATACTAACTTCCCGATGAGCTAGGGACTTGAAACTTGAAACATATCTCACAAATGGAAGACAATGCAATATTATACAATTTAATTTTCATATTTCCCTTGGGCTACGCCCCATGGGCTTGTTTTTATTAAATCGATTTCTTGCAAATTTTGATACTTCCCGATGAGCTAGAGACTTGAAATTTGAAACATAGCTCACAAATGGATGACATTGCAATATTATATCATTTAATTTTCATATTTCCTTTCGGGCTACGCCCCATGGGCTTGTTTTTATTAGCTCGCTTTCCTACAAATTTTGATATCAATTTTAAACGATGTAACCGATAAGCTAGAGACTTGAAATTTGAAACATAGCTCACAAATGCATGACAATGCGATATTATATCATTTAATTTTCATATTTCCCTTGGGCTACGCCCCATGGGCTTCCAAATTTTTCATGTTTACATTTTGAAAGGATGTAAATATATCAACTAATAAGTCAG